ATATATATATATATATATACATAGAGAGAGAGAGACAAAGTTTAAGTGAACTTGTAGATGCCATCTTTTTGGTAGTATTTGACATTGATCACTGCTCTAGTTTAACAAGCTTGGTTGTGAATTTCTTGTGTGATAACTAATTAGCTCATGCGTGAATTTAATAGCTTATTTCCTCGACAATTTCAGAAAACGGTACTGATCTCCCGTATAGAGCATGTAACATCAGGCAAATGACCAATTTTTTTTTTGCTTCAAACGCTCCTTAATTGACGTAATATTTGACAATTTATCGTGTTAGCTCCTCAAAGAATTTATTATTTATTTCCTGAATAATTCCGATTTCAGTTTTGGTTTCTACAAAATTGATCGGAGTTACGAAATATTCACATCAAAAGATTCAAAACTTTCCCAACAAATTTATTTTTTTTTGTTGGTTGGAGGGGCGGTGGGAAAGTACAATTTCAACAGATTATCTTTCTGCCCTTTTAGATTATTTTGGAGAACTTAAATAATGACAAATAGAATATAATAACCGAAAAGAGATGTATAAAGCTGGCAGAAAGTCTAAATTAACTTTAAGATTCTTGATTGTGCTTTTGCTTTAAAGTTGATCGATCACATGAAAGTAAGACTTTTCTCACGAAAGAAGCCACTGATTAGTGAATAGCATCACATGTTCCTTCTAGGTATGGTATTATTAGGATCTATTTATTGCTTCATGTGGACAGCCTTCATTGAGCTAATTACCCAACAACTTGTCATGATTCAGCCTGTGGAAAAAGTAAAAACATTGAATTAGTGCTTTTTTTTTTTTTTTTTAAGTGCGAGGATTTAAATTCAGGATCTCTTATTTATAATTCCTTCTATCTTGCCATATTTAATCTAACCCTCCCTTGATTTAGTGCTTTTTTAGTTTTTCTTTCTGCAACATATTTGTATATACTTAAAATTAGAAAGGATTTTGATTGAAGAAAGATTTGCATTTTATACATTTTGCCATAACATAGGTCATTTCTTGAGCTCTTTTTTTTTTATTTTTTTTATTGTTAAGTAAAAGAAGTATAAGGATCCTGCTAGTTGACTGTGAGAAAGGTATGGAGAGGGATAGGAAGGTTAAAAAAAAAATTGAAATGATAAAAGAAGTATTAGGAAATTAATTTAGAGGAGAGAAAACAAACTCAAAGACCCTTCTTTTCCCATATTTAAAAATTATTTTTGGGTAGAAAGAGGGGAAAGAGTTTATTTTGCTTCGACCATTCTAACTAAAACTTGCAGATAGGATTTGCAAGTGCAATAACACAAGGTCAAGTTTATATGCCCTTTTTTTGTTTGGTTAAGAAACATTGATCTCATAGTTGCGTTTTGGAAGAGTAGAAATTTTATTTTTTTTAGCATTAAGAAGAATAACATTAATAAAATGTAGCTGGAGATATTTTTGGATAGTATTAAGAAACTTTTGTTAACTAATAAAAACTAATTCTTTGGTAACTATTATTGTTAACTTAAGAAACCTTCCATCAATTTTTGCCAATCATGGCTAGTTTTTGAGCTAATTTAAAGTACCTGATCCAACAGCACATCTTCTTATTTTTAGAGTTTAGGCAAGTTTTTCAATTCCTTTGCACCTCCTTTCTTTTCTTTCCTGCTATTTTGGTAGGGAAGAACTTGGACGTTTGTCATTCCACTCTTATATGATTCATTAAAATTTCATTACACTTTTCTGCATGAGAACTTTGAATAATTCACAGACACTTTTAGGGCATTAGTTTTGAACATTTATTGGTGGGGTTACTCTATATAAAGGTTGGTTGAATCGTACCAGCAACCTTTTGAAGGGAATGAAAAAGAAAGAGAAAAGAAGCAATAGCAGAAGCTCTTGATTATTCTATTTCTGATGGGATAAAGATGCCCAAGAATGTGAATGTAAGACTGCTCATCTCTCATCTTTTTGTCATAGTTAGGGGTTGCCCTTGTCCCCTAGCTCTTTATGCTGTTGACTTAATTATCAACTAAATGCTTTCTCTATACAAGAGATGGCGGATAATGTAGTCCTTAAGTTTGATCTTTGGGAACATCCACCATCAATTCTCAACGAAACAATTGGGTTTGTTTGGATTGAGCATTATTTGTCAAATTATATCTGCTTACATCATCATTACAATTTCCAACGCACCTTTTTATCTCACATATATCACATCATAAAAAGTGCTACAGTAAAAATATCCCAAATAACTTACAATCCAAACAATTATAATAATAGTGTGTGACGAGCAGTAATAATATTGCTAAGTTATAATTACATGAATATTAAATAATCCCTAAAGAAGACTTCATCTGTGACACCATACACAATAATCTTGAGAGAGATATGTCTCTTTAATATACTTTGTTCCATTACTCATCCAGGCAATTTTGTCATAGTTTGTGGTTGTCCTTTGCTTCCCCCTTCATTATTTGGGCTAAGGATGGGAGGGGTCAGGAATAAATATTTATACACAAAATAATCTTAAACCCGACAAAAGACCCCATAAACTATGATGAAGCAACGTTCCTCTTGATCAAAACTACCAAGATAAGTGCCCCTTCTTGGATTTGGGGCATGAATGATTTGGAGGGCATTATGTTGACTTGGTAATAAAAAGATGAGAGCCCCATCTTGCATTTGGGACATGAATGATTTCGAGGGCATTATGTTGACTTGGAGCAAGCCAAGTCTAATTAAAAGGTTGGGGCTAACACAAATTGGTTCAGTTTGTAAGCACGGATTATTTTCTTAAAAAAAAATCATGCGTTTAAATCTCGCTACTAATGTGAGCACTCTGCTGGTGAGCGATACATGAGACCTCGTATAAGCGATTTATGGTTTCTAGGGCAATGCTTTGATCTGTGATGGTGACAGGAAACTGAACCCACCTAAACTTTTTGTTATCCAAAAACAAAAGGGCTAGAAGAACTTTTTAGTTAAATCGCCACCTAGAGCTATTTCACATAGGAGAAAAGAGAATTCTCTGCCCATGTTTTATTGGAGCATTTTTTTTTCTCACGATCTCCATTTTTCTTGGCTTAGTTTCCAAAGGAAATGGTGAATCTTGAAAAGAACAGAAGTGAAATTGCTGTAAGGTAGCAAACCTCCAAGGGATTAATTATTTTCTTGGTCAAATAAGAGCTACTGGCGCATTGCCAAATTGGTGAGTTTTTTTGTTATAACGAACTCTCTGAGCTCACTAATCATCATTATTATTAATTTCAAATTTGAGAATCTAAATACCTTACTAATGTTTAATTAACCGAGCAGGATTTTGAGGGCAACAGGTCGTCCATTACACAATAGGATGTATCATTCATGCTACACGCTCGGATGTATTGAAACCCATTCTCTTGGAATATCACAATTATACCCCTAAATAATTTGAACTCTTGAAAAGAACAAATGTCAACGTATGAGGACGTGAGTCTTTCACATTAGTGTGTAATAAAATACCCATGGTCGTTTTGAAAATTAATTACTTTTTATTGTTTACCCAGAGTAGTACTTCATACCCAAATCTTTGCTCGATACAAACATAGAAGAAATTTATAACCCAGCATGAATAAAGATGAATTTTTTAAAGAAGAAAGAAAGAAATTTGTCCAGGGTATTCTTTTTTCTTTGGTAATAAAAAGTATAAGCGGTTCGACTTCGAGTGCCTAACTAGGGGTGGCAATGCCAGGCACCTCTCCCGCCACCCGTTTGAAACTAAATATATATATGTACATAAGTATATATATAATAATATTATCAATTATACTACTAAATATACATGTTTATTAATAAGAATTATTAATTAATTATACTAAATTTATTAATACATTTATATTAAATTCCTAACTGCACTTAATACAATAACACTTTTTTCTAAAAAAAATACAATAATAATTTAGTGATTGTATTTGTATCAAAAGTGAAAATTTGATTATTTTAATTATATTTTTTTATCATATTAGATTGTATTCAAATAACTTTTGTTTAATTATTTTTATGAGTTTCAATTGTGAATTTACAATGAATAATAATTTGGTGATGTGTTGATATTTTAGTACTTGATTATTTGCTCAAATTTAATTATAATAAATTATATAATAAATTTTTTTTAACTCCTCGGAGAAAAGCCGGGCAGGGGCGGGGGAAGTCGAGGGCAGGGGACAGGGGTAATTAATCCCCCGCCCCATTGCCACCCCTGCATTACAAGTCAAAACATATTTCTAAAATCATAGATTACAAACACAGGACCTTTGCTGAAAATGCATCACCTTAGCAACCTTTACCATTTAAATCCTACATTTGTAATTTTTCCTATGTAAGCGTCTAATAATTCTTTACGCTTTTTTTCTTTTTTTGAGGAATCCTTTACGCTTTCAAAAGTCTTTTATTTCTCCAGTGCCAGTTGTCTTACTACGATATTAAAAGTCTTTTATTTTCTCCGGTGCCAGTTGTCTAACAAAATATTAAAAGCCTTTCATTTCTTCAGTGCCAGTAGTCTGACGTTGATCTGTTCCCTGTGCGCTCAACCACCATTATTTGATTACATTTATTTGTTTTCCATGCATACGTTTTCCTCCTAGGATCCATTTTTTTTTTTTTTTTTTGTCAACACGGGGTGTCCTTACAGGGCACAGGAGGTGTCCGGTCAATTCTTACATGCCCGACTAATCCCCTGCGGCCCGAGAAAGGAGGGCCGACTAATCCTAGGATCCATTGATGCCCACAATCTTAGACTTTTTTTTTTTTTTTTTTTTGTGTTCCTCATCTCAGGTAGAAACAGCTCTAAATTTCCCTGCTTGGTATTAAAAAAAAAAAGGGTTTTGATAGGACCGAATCAAAATCCCAAATAGAGCTTCCCACTGGGAAGTTTGTCACAGGAAAAAATGGAAGAAAAGTACGCAAGGTAGAGGCTCTGTAGTACTTTTGTTATCCTGAGGAAAGAAATTTGGAAACAAACATATTATTATATCACTCTTGCACAATTAAAAGGACTCCCACACCAAAGGACTCCCACACTGCAGTTTTCAAAAAAAAAATAATAATAAATAGGGGAGGATGGAATTTAAGAAGCAGCGACGGAATTTTTTTTTTTTTTTATTTTTTTTTTGGCTGTGGATTAACAAACAAAAACGATAAACAAGAATTCTTTGCCACAAAACTAATTAATGAAATATATGCATCTTTGTTCACTTGGTTGCAGCTGCTGCCTGAGCTTGGAACTCCTTGAGACATTTGTTCAACTTCTCAGGCTCTGGCACGACATTCTTAGCAGCTTCGTTTGAGCAGAAAGTCTCAGCCCACCCCAAAAGAGCTGGTGTCTTGGTTTCATCGAGCAGTTTCACAGAGGCCAATTTTTCTATTCCTTTTAGCCATCCCAAGCAGCCGCCTAGAGCTATATCCAGGTAACCTATGCTATCTCCGCCAAAGAAAGCTTTCCCTTTGCTACACTTTACGAAAGCAGCCTCCAACAATACTAGACCTTCACGCACTTTTTCTAGCAGGGTTGTCCTCGAGTCCTCCTCTTTGGCCTCATATACTTCCCAAAGCAGAGGAAGCCACTGCAACATTCTTATTCTACCCGGTTAAGTCGACATATTTTGATGACGAGGCATGAAAATGCATTTCTAATTAAGTGGTAATCCCATTCGATCGGGGACAAGAAGGCAAAATAACATTCTAATTGGTTTCACATATTATCACATGATCTTCCTAATGTTTCAAAATATTCAACTAACATTCCTGTGATTTTATATGAAGCGAAAATTTGATGAGAAGCAACCTCCGTAATGTCATTAATTGAAATGCTAGTGTTATCTCTGAACAGAACGGGGGTCTAACCACTTTGTGGATTATAGAGTATTAGGTTGATGTAATAGTTTGATTACACATGTTTTGGAGTGCATTGGTGTTAACTATTGTAACTAGAGGTGTTTTCTGATCTCGTCCAACTTTATATAAAATCACTAGGAAAATTATGTAGATAGCTTGAAACGTTAGGGAGGATCATTTGACAATATCCAAAACTACAAGGAAGTTACTAATAATTTACCCTATAATCTATCAACACGAAAATTTCAATAACTGGAAAAGTAAGCGTTTTAGTTATGACATTTAAAACCCAGAGAAGATGTGAAGTTTGCTCTTGGTTTCTTACTCCTTTCACTGAAATTGCAGGAATAATTATAGAGTAGAGAAGTTGTTTAGGTACCTTTTCATCAATGTAAGCAGCCCAAAAACGGGACATAGCACGATCACGGGGATGAGAAGGAAGGATAGAAGGACCATCTGTCCACACCTCATCAATGTACTGTACAATGTGAAGAGATTCACATATAGGCTCATCACCATGGATAAGGACTGGTATTTTCTTCTGGACAGGATTGGATCTAAGGAGGAGCTCGCTTTTGCTCAGAATATTCTCTTCTATGAATTCATGGTCAATGGACTTGAGGTTGAGTGCAAATTGAACACGATTCACGTATGGGCTATCCCAGAAACCTAGAAGCTTTACAGGTTTTGTTGCCATGACTAAAAATTCTCGGATGAAGTAAAATTAAGTTGGAAGTAATCTGACGACTAAGCACTCTTTTGGGTATTGCTTACTGCATGAGATGGCTTGCTAATTTGCTATACCAAAAACATGGGATAAAAAATATGGAGGGCTAATTTGCTATATATATATGGAGCAGGTTAGAGGAGGGATAAAAAATAAGTGCATCAAGACAACGTTTCATTAAAGTACTTAGTGCATCAAGACAACGTTTCATTAAAGTACTTGCTATACTTTGCACTTTCAACCGAGTACCACTTTTTCATTTTGTACTCTAAACTCTCCATTTTAGATACTTTACATCCTACACTCTCAAGTTTATTAGATCTAAGTTTAATCAATGACAACATTAGCAAAATTAACTGTATAGAAGACCCTACAAATCAATGAAAATTTGTTGAAAGTGGTAAAAAAAAGCTAAGGTATCACAAGTAGAATAAAACGATACATTGTCATTAATTTACACTATGTTTTTATCTCATTAATTTTACTAATAATATTAGTAATTGGAACCATACAAATCAATGGTAATGTGTTGAAAGTAACCAAAAGAAATCAGGATATTGCAAGTAGAACAAAATGATACATTATCGTTAATTTATACCAATCTTAATTTTGTTAATTTTACTAATGTTTTCATTGATTGGATTTAAATGGAAGAAACTAAAAATTGAGGCTGTAAAGCATGTAAATTGAGAGTTTAGAGTATAAAATATCTCAAATTAAAATTTAGTGTACAAGGTGAAAATGTGACACAAGTTCAAGAGCATAACGTACCTTAATGAATTGTCTAGCTAAACAATGCCCCATTTGGCAAATGAATTTTTTGGGTATTTGCCTAAAATTTGACAATAACTTAATGTAGAAGTTGTAGGAAAAATTTTTAAAATGAAATTATTTTTCTTTTTCTCTTTCTTTTTTTTTTCTTTTCTTTCCTCTCTTCTTCTTCTCCTTTGTCAAAAACAGGCTCATGATATCTTTTATCGTTTCGCCAGGCAAGGACGGTCCCTTCTCTTTCTTGGGACCAGTCATTTGCATCATCTATAATTTAGTAATGACAACTAATTCTTAGATAAATAACTAAATATTGTTTTGAAACTAGACCTGCCAATTGAACCATGTGCGTCTGACTTTAACAAGCCTAGATTTAACTCATCTAATTAGTAACATTTTTTGGGTTTCAAATCATGAGTTTTGAGTTAATAAATGTAAAACTCACACTTGGTTCATAGAACATTCGAATTTTGAATCTAATTCGGGTTTAGCCAAAATTCACTTATTACTTCTTAATTTTCTTAATATAATTACTATAGTTATTAAGTCAGAAAATTAATTTAATATCCACAATATTAAAAATGTATGTGAGCTAGTAAAAGTCCATTAAAAGTTACATAAATCAGGAATTTTTGAACAACAATTATATCTAATTCATTCAAAGCATATGAAAAATAGTAATAAAATATGATCAATAGTCAATACATTTTCAAAAGTTAGAAATTATCCATAACCTTCTTCTCAATTTGCTCCTACTAATATTCATCCACTCCCTTTGTTTACAGTGACCAGATTTAAACAAAAATATAGCATTTGAATCCAAATAGAAATAATCAAATTGATTTGTCTCATGAGTCATGTAAAAACCCATAGGAAAGAAGAAAATAGACCAAAAAGTGATGCTGATCAATTAGATAGAGATTAAGCTGGTAAAGTATACAAAATACATGCTTTATCATTGAAACTATCATTATATGCTTTTGCAGAGGTGGAGATTAGAGATTGGAGAGGCCAATCATGGAGGTGGAGTAGAGATTGAAAACGTAGAGGCTACTGTGACTGTGGGTAAGGGGAGAAACCAGAGGGATTAGGGCTTTCGTCATTCTTTTGTCTGAATCTTCTGATATGTTTTTTTCTATATTTAATATTTCTAATATATATTGATATATTTTGACATATAAGTATTAGTATTTAGTAATTATATATTTATTTTGATATAATTATATATACCAAAGTATAAATATATTTGACGAGCGCAGGATATATATATATATATATATAACAATTAGCTCATCCACAGTCAAGTTTTACAGTTATAAATTTCTAAATACCCCACATGCAATTTTTCGCAAGTATACGAGACGAAAGTCAATATAGGGAATTAAGGGTCGAATCCGCAGAGAAGAATGTTAATTATCGATGTTTTTCAAATTTCTTTATTATTTAGACTATCATAAGTACAAAATATTAAATCTACATTACAAACATGAAATAAAATTAATAAAAATAGCAATATAAAACTCCTAGAGGTATGAAATTCCTTACTACTCTTGCAAATAAAATTACCGGTTAAGTGAATGTTATTATCTTGTCTAGTTATGGCGTAATTTCCTAATGTATGTGAAACCTATTCTTGTAGTGAATCAACTATAATTGTAATTAAACCATACCTACTCTCATGGTTATGAAATTAACTACAAACTCATTTCTTCTATGAAATTATATGAAACAAGTCGCTAAAACTACAAAGATACACCTCTACTCTCGTCAGTGTACTCTCTAAGTTTATCACTTTCTTGAACTAGTATTAAATCTCAATTTTCATTACAAACTTAACACCTTAAGATTATCATAATTAATGGCCGGTTAATCATGATTAGGAAAGCAAAAGTGATAAATAACTTGCTCAAAATAATATCATTAAATAATCAAATAAATATCACTAACAAGATATAGTAAGTTCATCCATAACTCTAAACATAAACTTTAACTAACCATGAAAAACAATATCCAAACTTGTATTATAGTTAAACATGAACTTAAATACAAAAACGAAAGTGATAGGAGAGAAGTCACCCTTGTCACATGAGATCCATCTCTCCATCTTTGTTTATCAAATCTTCATCTAAATCTAACTACAAATACAAGAAGGATAAACTACACTAACTATACTATACTAACGAACTAAGAAAAACTAGTGAATACTACATTTTTGTGAAGTTTCTCTAGCTTTCCAAAGTTATCAAAATGTTCTCCAAGAGCTCTATTTATAGAGAGATTCAAGCCACAAATGTGTTGTTTCTAGTTGGCAAAGTTGGCTCTTGAAACTCTCAAAAGTTATTTTTACAAAATTCCTGACTTGCATGCGCATCTCCAGTCCAATTTCTTGCAAAAAAGTTGGCCAAAAAACTTGTATGAACAGAGCACAAGTTGCAAAACAAGTTGCAGCTGCAAAACAAGAATATGCAACCTTGAAAACGCAACCTAACTCATTTTTGGTCAGTCTTCATCCTTACTTTATTTGTGTACCAATTTCAACCGATATTTTCTCAATGTTGGAGGCTGAATTAGGTCTTGTACAAAACATAAAAGTTGTAACCCTTTGAGTTAGCTTTCCAATGACTAAAGAATCATCCAATTTAGAGCTCTGTAGACTGAAAATTTACCAAAATACCCTTAACTAGTCAGAATCCTGTTTCAGCTTTCGACAACAGAAATGACCGACTATATTTAATTTTGACTTGGAAAACTCATGAATTGAATTTCGATGTCTCCATAACAAATGTAGAGCTATGTGTTAGCCTCAAAATGACATAAGAATCACCTCAATTTGATACTTGTAGTTCAAGATATAGCCGAAATACCAACAGGTATCAAAGTTGAAAAATTGCCTTAATTGCATTTCATCTCTTGCACTTCATATTATCTTTAAAACCACTTCAAATCATAAAAAACCATCCAATTATCTTCTCAATTCACTCCATTTGATGATTGAATCATTTAACCTACAAAATTATGAAGTTTTTACCATTAAAATTCATAGAAATACAAGTGTTCATACTTAAATCATAAAATGCATATTTTTACTAGAATCCTAATTAATTAGCTATAAAAGTAAATAAAACACACCACCAAACTAATTAATAAAATGTTGACCTTGGTCGATCAATCCTTGGTTTTGATGATTAACAAACCAAAATGTAGATTTGGGCTAATGTTTTTATGTGAGTAATTTGTTAGAACAGATTCTTGTGGCATAAAAGAAGAAGCAAAAACAGGGCACTCATGTCGGACGCTATCGGACGTCCGAAAGGATGAAGAACATCAAGAAGGAAACTCTGTCGGACGCTCGTGAGGAAGCATCGGACGTCCGGAAGGATCGGACGCATGCCTCGGACGCACATCGATCGCATCGGACGTCCGAGAAATTTCGCAAAGATTTGATGACTCTCTGCCTACGTTCGGACGCAGGGTTCGGACGTCCGACAGGTGGTTCGGACGTCCGACAGGCACCTGTCGGACGTCCGACAGGCCAACGGCTAGTTTTGACAGCATTTAATATTTGACCGTTGGAGAGCCTTTTGAAGCCATTTCTCACCTTCTATAAACACCCCAAAGCACAAGAAGACAAGTGACTTTTGCCAACACAAAATACAAGCTTACAAGTGAGATTTTTGAGTAGAAAGATTCTTTGTTGGTTGTATAAGGGGTTGGGAAAGTTGGGTTGTGAGGTTGCTCAAGTGAAAACCTTGGTGAAGGTGAACCTATCACTTGGAGTGGTAAAACCTTGGTGAAGGTTGCCTCATTTGTATAAAATAGTTCTTAATTGGGTGAGTGATCTTTCAAGTGTAGGTTGTTGAGGGTTAACTAGAATTGTTGTAAAACTCCTTGGCTCAACCAAAGTGTGTTTGGGGTGAGGAAGGAGTGAGCCTTCACTTGTACATCTTGGTTAGCATCGCCATCAATTGAAGAGGCTATTGGTTTGATATTTGGTTTGCATTTCTTATCTTTTCTCTTTAATTAAGTTTTCTTTATTGTGCTTAAATTTGATATATCTTTGTGCATCATTGTGAATTTGTTTGTACTCATTGGGTTGCACCGGGCATTACATAAAATATACTAAAAACACACAACATATGCACTTATTAGTATTATATATATAGGTACAAATTAACGAGTCGGACCTATATCAGATTTCAAGTCTAAATTCGGTTCATATTTAATTCGGACATAATATTTAGGCTTAAACTCAACCCAGCTCAATAAAAAATTAAACTCATTGAGCTTTTTATCATGCTGAAGTCAGATTGGTCTGACTCCATTGACAGTAAACCCCAAACCCCAGGCCATCTTCAACCAATAGCAAAAGACATTAGTGGCTAGCTTTTGAGCTAATTCAGAATACCTAATCCAGCAAAGCTACTTACTTCTAGAGTTTAGACTAGTTTTGGGATGCCCTTTGCATTTCCTTGCGAACTTGATTCTCTCTTATGGTTCATAAAATTTTCTTTAAACTTATCTGCATGGGAACTCGGAGGAATTAATACAGACTTAAGGGCATTAGTTTTAAACATACTTTTTTGGGGTTAATTTATATAAAGATTGGTTGAATCATAGGAGTAACCTTTAAAAAAGAAGGAAAAAGAAAAGACATACTTATAATTGCTCTGATGCATTTGATTAGAAGGTATGAACATATATCGAGTTGATAATTGGTACCCCTGTGTTTGGTTGAGTTAAATTTCAGAAACTATGAAAATGATACCCAGCATACTCTTTGAATCGGAAGAAAAAGGAAAAGATTTCAAAAATATATGATTTACATCATTTTTCTCCATAATTATTTGAGTCTTACTGGGTACTCTGTTTAATTCGATATTAAATGCTAACCAAACAAGGAAGAACTTGAAAATGCACAATGTCGCCTGCATACAAAATGATGATTAAAGTTAGCTTATATTAAGCCCTATAAATGTTGGACTTAAAATATTCCTTCTTCTATAGATTTGACAGGTTGTCACAGAAAGGTTTTATCTCCTATGTTAGGGTTATTATTACTTTACCCTTTTAACGTTTGGTGTCGCTATTAATTTTTCATTTAGTGTTATCTTTTAGTCACTTTACCCCTAAAACTAATATCAAATTTAACGGAGTTTGTTAATTCAAGTGAAAAGACATGATTAGCTCTTAAAATTATTATCACTTTATACTTGTAAACAATTGTCTTATTATCAATTTACCCCCCTAGAGTTATTTTTTGAGGAATTTATCCCACCATTAAATCAATTTAGCAAGTTAAAAAACTTTAGAAAAAAGTATCCTCCTCTTTGTATAATAAAAACAATGAAAAATTTAGAGCGGCTCTTCTCCTTTTTAATACCAAGAAAAAAAAAGTCAAAACATTAATCTCTTTCTTCTTGACAATCTTATTAACATTGAAAAGAAAGTAGAAAGATAGGAGGCAAAGAGAGAGAGAGAGAGAGAGAGATTTTGAAAAAATATAAATAAGAAAGAATTTAATATTTTTATTGTTTTAAAATTACTTTACTTTTTTGTTAACTACCCAATTTCAATCATAATCCGAACGACATGAAAGTAATATGATAATATTAGATTTTTCCTCATTTTCTTTCTTTGCAAAATCTATTTTTCTAATTCATTCTCTCCTCTCTCTTTTTATTTTTCTAGTATTAATAAGTGTGAAAAAGAAATTTGAGAAAATATTTTAATTTTTATGTTTTTGGAACTCTTAGAATGAAAAAAAGGCAAAATAACCATTCCAAATTTTTTATTTTTAATTATATATAAAAAAGGGTAAATACATTTAAGAATTTTTGAACATACTGGTAAGATTAGCGATAGGGTAAAATGCCTAGAAAATAATATTAGGGAGCAAAGCGATTGTATCACTATTATTTAAAGGGATAAGGTGATAATAATAATGTAGTAATGCTATAAAATAAAGGGTTTTTGTCTAGAATTTGTTAACATGCTGAGTTGAATTACCTATGGGGTGAAGTGACTAAAAGATAATAATATAGGGTAAATTGATAGTAGTAGTATAGTTTAAGAGTGTAAAATGATAATAACGCCTATGTTATAATTCTTAGCTTTTACCTTTGTCTTATACCATGTTTTAGATAGTATTTGCAGTTTCACATGATTCAGTGAGTCAATGGGACAAAAGATTACCTTATTATAACATAGTGTAACACGAAAATTGTATCAGATCATCTACAATTGCCATGTAATTTGTTACAGGTATTACATATGGTACTTGGTATACTCGGACAAGTGCTTTGCTCATTAGATGGTCTACGTACATCCAAATCCATGAAATGAAATAAAAGCTTACGAGAAAAAAGGAGGATCTATAACTTGTGGATTTCCACTTGATTTCCCACAAACTTTTTTGGGTTAATGGCTTATTTTGGCATTAAACTCTTTCTTTAGTGGTCAGGTAATAACAGAAGGGATAATTTTAGAAACCTCCCACGAGGTTTCTATCAATTTCACTTGAATCTCTCAACTTATGAAAATCTGACTTAGCTCCCCTTTTTGGAACTTTTATGTAACATGTAAGCCCAAATCTTAAAAGGTTGACTAGAAAAATAATTGTTGGAGAAAAAATGTAATTTGGTGCCAAAGATGCCCTAACTATTTGTTGCAACCATTTATTAATTTTGAGAAACTATTAAATGAATTAAAACTTGGCAAACAAAAGTAAAAGCCTGTAAATTTAAAAAATATGTAGCATATGTATTAGCAAAACTTTAGATGATTAGACTAACCAACATCTAAATTTGCAAAGTAACTCAACTAAATATAAAAGCCAAAATAAAAAAAGTTAAAAAAATTAAATGATGTAGGACACTTTTTTTCTAATAGTACATAACTGACTATTAGAAAAGTGTGGCATTTGAATTGTGAGGAGAAATTCGCACCAATTTACCGAAGATAATTGGCTAAATTTCTTTCATTTTTTCTTCAAATATAGTCCAATAGCAATTTTTTAGGGGTTGTTAGTTAATATCACTAAATACTTAGGATATAAAAGTCATTTTGCCACACATTATATCAGCCATGGGTCGCAATTCTCCATTAAGGGAAGTATATGAGATGTCTAGAAGTTGAAGAGAGGCAAGTGAAATTATCAGAAATATCAGTGGAGGTTTTTGAAATTATCCCACAGCAGAACAATATCCTAATGGGAATTACAACCCAAGTTAAATACTTGGTTAATTAATTTAGCCGACACGTAATAATTATATGACTGTTACTCAGTATTCTGTTCAATTCCTCATTACTCAAAATGCTAACCAAAAAGAAGAACTTGAAAATGGACGATGTCCCATACACAGAAAATGGTGGCCCTAAAAATATTCCTTCTTCTGTCGATTTGATTCCAAGTGTTCCTCACAACAAATTTATGCTTGAAGATTAGAATAGGATTAGGGTTAAGGGAAAAAAAAAGGGCAAGAGAATGGAAGTGAAAGGATTATTTAGAATTGTATAGAAATAAAACGAATAAAGGCAAAAAAAGAGAGATGGAAGAGCATAGATTATTTTATGGAACGCGTTGCAGCTACTTGCTATGTCGTTAAGGCATGTAAGAAAGAGACAAAATAAAAGGATAAAACTTTATAAATACTTTTATTGTTTTAGCACACCAACTTATAGATAAGCATAATTGGTTTTGCAGGTAAAACTCGTACATAATACAAGGCAAACGGATACATAAAACTAAGCTGCAAATGCACCTTTAGTTTGAGGTGACATATTTTTCTCGAGGGTCAAATAATTAATGGTCAAAATTAATTCAACCAAGCTCATGGATATGCTTGAATGTGTATATTTATTCAAATAAAGCAAGTAAATTCCTATTGAGAAGTTGACCATATGCACAAAACTCGACTACATGTAATCAAAATCTTTAGAATTTGATATATTTAGCTGAAATATCCACTAATTGAGGAAGTATTGGTCTAGTAGCTAAAGTCGAAATCCTAAAAGTTAGAGGTTTTTGATTCTAATCCCTTGCCCTTTCCTGCTTTTTAAATCTCATCTTTGCCCTACTAAAAAAATAGCAAAAAAAAAAAACTGAAATATCCAATAGAAATCCACCCACAAGAGCAAGACCTTGACCTCTTTTTTCTTCTCTTTTTTTTTTTCTTCCTAACAATTAATCTCACCACCTATGACTTGTGAGCTTAATTACGAGAAAAAAACAAAATTCCGTACAAGATTGATCAAGATGAAAAGTTCCATACACTTCTTATTCCTAGTTAATTAAGCTCATTCAGGAAGTAGAAGAAGGGGATTTACAATCACATGTAAAGAGTAACAAAGAAGAAGAAAATTAACTGTGCATCCAATAGAACCCATGATGAGGGCTCCAAATACTTTGCCACAAAAATTAGGGACGTAGATGCAAACAGGTGACCAATTGGTATGAGAGTTTCCTGCCTTCACCGTCCTAAAAGCTGCTGACAAGCTTGTACTTAGGATAACGTTGACCACCTATTCCACAACTAAAGATCATAACCATCAAAAAGTAAATTATATTGAAATCAATATGAGTTCTCAACTAAACATTATATATTTAGTAATTTCACTTTTGAATTTTGCATATGTGAGTTATTCGTCCCCCTATAAGTGAGTTATTGAATCACATCATAGCATAAAATAAGGATTTTTGTGTTCTAAGGACTCTATATAACTACACCAAAAAAAAAAAAAAAAACTATGAACATTTATAATTGAATCTATTTCTTGAATTGTGTATTCTTCTTTTGTTAAAAAAAAAGAAGAAGGTGGAATTGGATTTACCTTTATTCATTGAACTAAAGCACGGAATAGAAGAATCCCATAACATACATGACAATTTATTAAGATTTTTCACAAGAAGGAATCAAAGATTTTTCACAACAAGGCAATCAAAATAAGGCCAATAGTTAAAGGATTAAATACCATGTCTAGGCCGAGCACCGGGCGCCAAAGCAAACTCCCAGAAGGAAGAAGAAGTACAAGAAGGTTATAAAGGCCTCCAAAGACATTTGCAGCAAAGAAGTACCTAGATACATGGCATTATCTCTATTTAGACAATTAAAGGGGGGAAAAAAAAGAACAAGAAAAAAGTCAATTTTTGAGCTTAAAATTCAAAGTAAGGCCCAAATTCTAATACATCACATTAAAAAAAAAAAAAAAGACACAAAAAATTGCTCACTTGAAGCTATTCCAGTTGTCGAATTTTGCTATGAATACGTAATCATCTGTTTCAATTTTCTCAGAACCGGTGGCCATGACAATTGCTGCAACGATGGCTGATACAAAAGCAAGGTTTCTTGCAATAATTGAGCTTTTTGTCTTTGTCATCGATGAGAATTCTATGTTATGGTTCAAATGTATGACCCCCTGAAAACATGAATAAAAAAGATTAAGAGATCATCAAAATCCAAAACTAAACTAGGTTTTGTTAGTAAGAATAAGAATCATCATCTCAAAATTCTTTTACTAGCAGGGTTTGTTGAGTGGAAAGAAGAAGAGTTAAGGGACAAATTAAATAAACGATATATCAGTTTTGAATCTATAAGTGACAGCACTTTTTAATTGGAGGCATAGATAAAACCTTCCAATCCAATAAAAAAGATTAGGAGATCGATCAAAATCCAAAACTAGGATATATTTGTTAATAAGAATAAGAATCATCTTCCCAGTACTCTTTTACAATTAAGAGAAAAATTAAGCAAATGAACAGTGTTGAACCTGCAAGTGACAGGATTGTATGATTGGAAACACAGATAAAAATTCCAAATGAAAGTATTTTCTAAGGATTAAAGGCCAGTAATCATGTTTGATATAGCATTTGAATGAACTTAATGATAACCTTTTAAGTGATATATATTAATTACAGCTAAACATTACAAATCTACTTCGTAGAGAGATGTAATTCGTAGCTTAGTAATTCATTGACGTATGTAGTTCTTCATGGGAGATCAAGCATTGCCTTTCTTCTAATTGCTATTTTCTTTGTAAGACCTACATTTAATAACAGTTCTATAAAGCTCTAAGATTTTAGAGTTTCAGCAGAGAACTAAAAAACACACACACAAAGAATGTAATGCAAAGGGATGATAGATGGTGTGAATTATGGAGGCAAATATATGAACTGAAGCGTGTGTATGCAACTGTGATCATACTGATCTCAAATCACTAACCCCTTTTTGAAAATTGTGAAGGTAAAAATTCCTGAAAAAAGCTACACAAAAAGGAATTCAGCATAAGAAGGCAAAGTTAATTTTGGAAAGAAAGTTGAAGTTAGTTTAGGCTTCGAACAAGGGGGAAAAAAAAGAAAAGAAAAGAAAAATCAACACCAAGCTGGGATCATAATAGAGCAAGAGAAAGAAATAAAGAACTCATATGCAATAAAATAGATCAAGGGAAGAGATTGTAACAGACAGTATAATTCCTGCAGTAAATTTTATCATCTACTCGAACAAGGTTTAGTGTGAAAGAAAATAAAATAAAAAAGATTGTTTATGAAAACATTAAACCTCTATTGAAGAAAAGAGTAGCCTAATCAACATAGAATAATGTAACTTGTGAGTTATGAATTACCTCAAGATCTTGCAGACGACTTCAAAGAAATTGTCGAAAGAGATGGTGTTTCAACTTTATGTGCAGCAGGGCTTTCTAATAACCTAATAACTAAATTAAGTTGCAGAATAATGAGGAAACCCCCTCCAGCTAGCTTCACTGTTCATTTGAGGCAAGAAAATATGGAAACATTACTGAAGATTGTGTTTGTTGGATTGTGTGGGAAAGAAAAAAGAAAAAGAGTATTCCTCCAATAATTTTCCTGTTTTTTTTTTTAACGCGTTTGTTTGGCTTGCAAGAAAATTGCAGAGACTATAATTAGGGAAAGTCTTAAGTAGTAAGTTGTTGCTTATTTTGAGAAAACTTAAAATAGTCCTCAAAACTTGGAGTAGGTCTAAATGGAACTCAAATTCGACAACTAATTGTATTATTTTCTGTCTGTTTTTAATGCATTAAACGGAGTACGTACTAAATTTTCGGTGGATCAAGATGCAAAATATTTTCTTATTGTTGAAGAAAGAAAAAGAGAAGAGGACAGATTTTTAAAAGTAATCTACACATATATATAATCCCAAAATGTTTGAGGAATGAAATGCCATGCGTATTAAAAAATTATTCTCAAGAAATATATCTTGGAGCATGATTGCCTGTGCATTCCTAGGGTTCCCCCAATATGTTCATTGTTTTAATTTTCTTTGCTATTTTTGTTCCTCCTATAATTTAATTCAAAAAATTGAATAAAGAACGGTACACCAACTTTGTTTTCAATTTCACATGTTCATCAATCAACAGGGATCTTACCAAAATAAAATTACGTGTCTGCGAACAAGCATCCAAAAATAATTTTTTTTTTTAAAAAAAAATAAGAACATCCCAAACCAATACATTACATCGAAATTCATGATCCAATGTCCAAGATAATGCAATTTAAAAAAAAAAAAGAAAAAGTGATGGCATGTACAATTGAATCTTGTAAATAAATTATCGTTTTTTTCAATTGGTATGCAATTTGCTAAATAAAATTACGTAGTTATTTCTAAAAATTAAATTTGTCTGTGTATATAAACAAGACAAGTCGGGTGCTCACACGGATTCTCAAACCTCTAACCTTAGCCTGCACTACATTTCTATGGGTACCCAACCCTCCTTTGCTTTGATTAAAAAGTGCAGACACTCCAAATTTAAGAAGGAAACAGGACAGGTTCTGCATCTCAACGATTATTTTCTTTTGCCCATCCCTAAAGATTAAGGTGTCTTCTGGTTAAACAGTAAGAGAAAACTTATTACTGTATTATACTACTAGTTAGACTACGGGCCATTAGTGCTATCTATCTAACAAGAACAAATCTTAACATAAAGCATGGTAGTTTTTCCTCCAATAAACCAGATGCATGTCAGAAACACCTTTTTGATACTGGATCTTGCTGGTAAATTTGAGCATTAAGTTTTCTTCAATAAACCAAATTCATGTAACACGTAACTTTTCGGAATTAGATATTAATGGAATAATTAGCACTATTTGATTACATATGTTCTGCTATTACTGAATCGATAATCCTTTTTTTCTTTTGGAGAATTCATCAACAGCTTTTATTTAAATGAAAGAATGAGGAAGAAAAAAGAAAAATAAACTTTGTAGACAGGGTTTTTTCCTGAGGCGTTAGTTCTTGCAAGAAGTTAAGTTAAACCAAAAGGTGCCAAAATGCAAGGGAACCATAATTGTGAGGTCTATGCCTTTGATCTTTAAATGGCAATCATATTTGGGTCTAAATCAAACTAAACCATGTCAATTAAATGCTCTTTAGAAAAAATCCTTTATACAAACTTCAAATCTTTTATATTTTTATTTCTTCCTTTTTTTTTTTTTTTGGCAGATCTGTACACAGGGGAGGGATGCCAGCTTTTATTTTATTAAATAAATATTAAAAAGCAATTGAAGGAGGGGAACATGTACCTAACCTCCAGTACAATTGAAAGTAGCAAACTAGGACTACAACTCTCTTACATTTGTAATTCTCAGATAATTAAGGAAAACTAAAACTATCTAGTTGTACTACTGATTTTACATTTTCTTGGTAATTGCTGGACAGAGTGGAAGAGAAAATGTCTTGTGAAATGAAGACCCATTTAAAATCTGCAATTGGTGTTTTAGTTTAGAAAGGGATAATTTCGTAAACCTCCTTTGAGATTCATGACAATTATATTGCAGCCACCTTGCTCGAGATTTGAAAAACTACACTTATCTTCCTTGGTATTGTGAAAAGACTATAATAGTTTTGACGATTCCACAAATCCTAAATGAAAAGTAGGTGTAAAGAAAAGGAAAAACCATATTTTTCAAATATTTCTTAATCCAAAAGCTCTACACTCATCTCACCTAATACATTATATTAGATTTCTAGGTCATCTAAATGGATTTCTCGTTTAGTTTCATAAATAGCTAACCGGTAGGGATGCATTTGTTAAAATTAGTTTCATCACAACTTACTTAGCAAAGAAAAAAAGAAGCCCAAACATTTAAAAATATTAAAAAAAATGATGTCTTGAAACATAGCCAAAATTTTGCTGCAAAGATTACCTTAAAACTTTTTGCTTGGCAAGTAATGTTGATATTTGATTTCTTTTGTCATTTAATTTTGTAAATCAAATAGGGGCAATATAGGATATTCATTAGACTTTTTGTACTTACATCACCATTTGTTATCAAAACATACTTCTTTTTAGGGGAGGTTCCTATGATTTTTCAAATCTCAAGAGAGAGGTGGCTGCATTTCTGAAATCATCCCTTCTAGAAATCACATTGCACAAAGGCCATCTAGAAAACGTGGACGAGGCAAACAACAGTTGCAGCAATAGAGAATCAAACTTCCGCAACAATCCCATTAATTTGTCTTGCAACACATAATTCCAATCCAACACACAAAGCTTGCGCCTCTGCCTGTAACACCTCCATCTCCCCAAACTCCTTGTAATGAGCGACTACTACTTCTTAGCCACGATGATCCCGATCTATCCCACCACCCCTCACACGGCCACCTACCACGCCAGCATCCGGAGGCTGCCATGCCACTGATATTTCTACTTCTTCCTCTATGAGAAGAGTTTCTTGGATCTTGCTTCTCTATTTAGCAGTGTTTTGAATCTCAAACGGGTAGTAACTCAACTAAAGTACCCAAAAAAAAAAAAAAGAATAAAATTGTTTTTCTTCCTGGTCTTTTGCAATCAAGAAACAGGTTTGACGGGGTCAATGAAGTGCTGGTGTTTTCCAATTCAATGAAGTGCCGGACAATCAGAAGTTTTCTCGGTCGAACCGGTCAAAGTGACCGGTCTGGTCCAAGTTCAGTAATCACTACTCTCTGACTCTAGCTACTCGCCCCGTGTGAATGATCCAGCGGCAGCGCCTCTCACCAGTGAACCTTGAGGTCACAAGTTCGAGTCTCCGCTCTACTGGATTCCTCCGCGCACTTAACGTGTTCGGGCCGGATTGGGCGTCGTACTCAATCCCTCTAGAGTTGTCGGACGGGGGTCCGGATTCGCAGTGGATTAGTCTGGGGCCGTAAGATATTATCCGAACACCCGTGTTTCTCGGAAGAAAAATAAGATTAAAAAAAAAAAAGAGACTCTAGCTACTCATTCTAGACGTTCACAAATCACAAGTGAAGCAATTTTTCTTCTGAAACTAAAATATAAATGATAACCTGAAACGTTGCATTTATTAAGTCAGAAGAAAGCTTAATTACAGACCGACATTCATGACAATGTCATACTATTTGTCCTTA